TTATCATTGTATATTTTGGTTTTCTGTTTTGATGATGTTCTATGTACTTTTCGACATTGATGTAGACCCTTAACTTTTTAGCCCTCTCTGGGCCATTATATTCACAGGTCGGGGTGTAGCTTCAACCCCCATCCATACTGGGATGTTTATAGATGTATATATATATAAAAAGAAGATCTAAATAATGTCAATATTAATGAATAACATGTTAAAATATGTTAGCATAATAATTTTAGATTTTAAAAATTAATAATAATATAATAATAATAACAAGGGCTAATTGCATCTAAAATCTCAACCTTTTGTTTAATAATAAATAACACTCAACCTTTTCAATTTGGCAAAAGAATATTAAACCTTTATTAAGTATTGTAATTTTATCTAAAAACCACATTGTGGCCAAGTGATGCTGACATGTCCGATCGAAAAATTGACGTGGCAACGAAATTGTGACGGGGGAATCAAAAATTTGAAATTCCATTCAACGTTATACTCCGTGCGTTTGCACGAAAGTGATATAATAAAGAAATAGTAATTAAAATTATGGAATAAAATAAAAATCATAAGTATAAACGAGATAAAAAATAATTTGAAAAAGTTAATCTAAATATTATTAAACGCCTTGAAATTCTTATTAATTTCGTAAGAGTAAGAAAATGAATAACTCGGATACGAACGTGGTGGCTCTCCATACGAGTACATCTCCTCTTGGTAATTGGCGGGTTATCCATGAGACGAGCTTTCGGCATAGAATAATCATACGGGTCCATCGAAACTCCTCAAGCGTATTACCTCGCACAAGAAAAACACCAAATACGAGAAACAAGACACAATATTTACAAAAACACAAACACCAAATAGCAAGAGAAATAGAAAACAAGCAAATAAGCAAAAGAAACACACAAAATTAAGAAATTTAACAAAAAACAAGAGAAATACGTAAAATACGTCAATCAATTGTCCAAATTCAATGGCCTACTCGCCTTCCCCGGCAACGACGCCATTTTGCTTGTTGTATTTTTGAGTAGATGGTAACCGAGCTATCCGATTTGGATCATTCTCAAAGGAAGGTTGTTCGTGTCATTCAAGGAAGGTTGTTCGTGTCATTCAAGCAACGATTGATGCACACAAGAAAAAAAAAATTCCTAATCACTCTAATCCCAATTTAAAGTTTGGATTTAACTAAACATACCAATTTTAAACTTAAAAAAAAAAACAAGATTCAAATTTTAAAACAAGCAATATTTTAAATTGCAATAAAAATAAAAAAAATAGAGACAAAAATAAAAAAGGTAGTGCTACTCGGCGGGCAGCGATTTGCTGTTTCCGCGCGGCTGAGGAGGATCGCCGGCCGCTCGACTGAAGTGCGGCTACTCGGCGGGTCGCTGCTGTTTCTTACTATCACCGCAGAAGTCTGCTCGGAGGTTTGCCGGCGAAGGTTGCACGCGGGGATGAAGGCTGCGACGGCGAGAAATCAGGCCGAAATAATCTCCTCTCCAGCAGGTCGTAAGGTGGACGAACCACCGCTGCTCGCGACGGCAAGGGCTGGCGGCTGCTTGATGATCGCCGGCGGAGGATGGCTCGTGAACGGTTTCTGCTCTCTGAGAACGAATTGTGTTGAGGACGTACGGCCGCTGTGCCTGCTTGCTGCGGCTAATCGGGGTCGCCGGCGAAAAAGGGCTGCCGTGTGAGAGGTTGAGGGAATCGGATTGTTCGAGATTGAAGGAAAAGAAATTTTCTGCCGCGTGAAACATCTGGGTCCAATTGGGCCGAACTTAATGCTAGATGTTGGGCCGAAAAATATTAAAGCTCATGGACATAAAATACTAAAGGGCCGAATAAAACTCGATCAAAGGGCCGATCATATAACAAACGGCAAACAAACTCCGAAAAATCGAAGTTCGAATAATCTCTAAATAAAATTGACATACTCGAAAAACGGACTATAAATGGCTTCGACGGCTACTAAATAAATAAATTGAATAAAATCGAATAGCTAACGAATATTTTGATAATTTGAATAATTTAAATAGACACTAAAGTCTAAATAAATTATTTCTCTTAACGGATTAAATAGACACTAATGTTTAATTAATTCCGAACAACTTGTCAAGCTTAGAATTTTTAAATAATATGCAACTAACTGCATAAATAAATAAATAATCGAGATGTCTCTATTAAATGATCGGTGCGTTACAGTTACCAATTTCATTCGTGTAGATTGTGGGACATATTTTCAATTTTTTTTTTTTTAATGATATGTGTTACAACTTAAAAACAATAATTCGTTTAGAAATTAAATCTGGACACTGGTTAATTATTATATTAAAAAATATCTATTATTTTATAATGACTAATTTAGATTAAGATTTATATTATAACTCGTACAATACCCGTGAATTATACGAGTGTTTGTTAAAATCTGTATTTAAAATTAAAAAAAATTAAAAAAAAAAAGTTATTTAATTTTCAAATACATTTTTTAATAACTATATTACCATTTATATTTAAAATAACACGCATCACTTATACGACTTACCATATTATATTATGACATATTATTTTTTTTTAAATTCCATCATTTAACAACTTTGTAGTTCAATTGATTTAAATAATTTAATTTTTTAATTAATATTAATAGGTAAATTTTCATTATAAAGATAAATATAATTGTTTAATTATTTATTTTGTATGTACAATATAGGTGTCAAATCAAAATTCATCAAGACATGATTAATTTGATATCCTCCCTATATATAATTTCCGAATGCGCTGAGCCTACGTGGCTGCTTCTGGTGCTTCGGAATCCTATTTGGCGAAGAATCATACTTCGTAATTAGGTTTGGATATGATATATTAATAATTAATAATCTAGGTTCGGGTATTCCATAAATATTATTTAGCTAACTTAGGTATTTTAATATCACTTTTACTAATATAACCCTTTAATTCTTTGTAATTTTACATAGTGAGACACTAAGTGACTAATATATCCCTGAATTTTGATTTGTTTCCTTCAATAAGCTATTGAATTATAAATGTATTTTAAAAGTTGATAAATTTTGTATTTCTTATCGGTTTTACATATATAATATATCAAATTAATCATCTTTTGATGATCTTCGATTTGACATCCATATTGTATATATAAAATAAATAAATTATATTTATATTTATAATAATAAAAAATAATAATATTTATTAAAATTCATTAGAAAAATAAAATTATTTCTCAATTGATATATTTATATGTAATGTAGTTATATATTGTAAGTTAAAAAAATTAGTATAATATAACACAAGTAAGTTGCACAAAATAAAAAGTGTCATAATAAATATCTAATAATATATATATTCTTATAAAAGGTATTTAAATTTTCAAACTACTTTTTCTCATTAATTTTAGATTTTAAGAAAAAAAATTAGCAAGCACCCGTGTAATACACGGGTGTTGTACTAGTACTATGTATATAAAGTTGATATAAATAAAAAAATTATTAACTTTTAAATCTACTTATAATTTAAGTAAGTAATTTTTTCATAATTTAAAAAAAAAGTGAAAAAAAAAATATTCGAAAAAAAATCTTTATGAATCACTTCTAGAATAGGAAAAAATATTAATTTTATTTAAAGGACCATATTTATGGTTATACCAAACCTATATACTTTTTTATTGAAAGTAAAATTAAAATTCATCAAATTCAAATGACAAAACATAAAAACTTTCTACATAGGATCCTGAAGCATGCGAGCCTGTCATTAGGCTCATCACATTCAGTTATATATACTAGTACAACACTCGTGAACTACACGGGTATTTAAATAAAAAATTAGTTGTGCAACAAAAAATGAAGAAAATAAAATAAAATTTTTATTTTGAAATTAAACTATAAATAAGTAATAGAAAGAAAAAAAAAAGTAATTTTATTTCTAATTTTAGGAACTATTTTTTATTAAAAATATTTTATTTATTTATGATATACT